AGTTTTTAATTTTTGAATTGATATATTTATTAATATATTATTGTTATTGAGTTTTTAGTTTTAGTTTTATATATATATATATATATATATATAAAATATTTTATATTTTTGTATAAATTGTTGCTTCACATCAAAAAGGCGAGTGCTTCGCTGCGCGCCTCTCGCCTCAGTGAAGCGGGCCCTCGTCGCTATTTGTCGCCGCACGCTATCCAAAACATTGTGATGGAGATAGCAGTTTTAGAGTATAATTGTTTAGAAAATCTGTTTCAATGGTGTAAGGAGAAGACAGTAGAAGACTTCTCTAATGTTCTAGACTTTTTAGATTCATTGAGATGAGTGTACTTAATTGCTATATGGTGATTTCTGTATTGTTGTAAAGTTGTTTTTGCAGCACCATCTTGGTACTTGCCTTAATAATCTTTACTTATCTTATCAAAAAAAGATACCCTATAAAGGTTTGGAGTAGTTGGGCTTGAGGAATAGTTGATTGCTATTGATTGATCAATATACATGATCCTAAGTGCTTAATACTCTACATGCGAAAAGTGAAGGGGTGAGCCCATTATCCACCGAGTTACAAACCGTGTGCCAGTGGTTCGTGAGATTTCTCGGTTATCAAAAAAATACTCTCCCTGGGAACAAATCGTATTAGGATTCATGAAACTTAGTAAAAAGTAGAATATTTATAACCTGTAATCAAAGGAAGGAAAATATCGATGCAATGTGTTTACTATCAATTCCACAGTTGCATAATCTGCAGCAGCAGTATCTGTCATGTGTGTGTGCTGAACCTGAAATTAGCGAAATGAGATCCCTAAAAGTTTTGAAAATTCTCCACTCCAATTTATAACAATATTAACATTTAGGACCTTGACAGCAACTTTTTGCCCTTCATGCGTTTGAGCAACATGGACTTGAGCAAGAGAAGCACTTGCTATTGGAACCGGATCAAATTCATCAAAAATCTGTAGACAAAAGTTTTAACTTAGTTGAGTGCACAATAAAGCAACGAAGTCCAAGAATTTATAAGACATTTATTCACCAAATATCAGATTGACTGTGCTGGCAGATTAAACAATAACATCCGTTTTGAGGAGAATTTGATAAATTAACAGTTAAAACATACTTCATCAGGTGCACCTCCAAGCTCTTTTTTGACAACTTCACGCACTTGATCAAAAGATGAATGAGGACATCTATTTAACATGGATTCCCTCATTATACGAACGTACTCTTCTGGTACTAAGTACTCCTGAGCAAACCAAAGGTCAAGTTGAATAAGCCCAAGCCCGCTAGTGCCTCAGAATAAATATAAATATGATACAGTTATCTATACAATAACCTAAGTAGAGAAGTAGCATACCAGCTGTCCTAAATGTTGACCAAGCTTAATGTAAATTCCACCATTTCTGAAACAAAGTTCTTCAAGCCTGCGTGCACCCCTCATGTGAACTTCATGTTTGACTTTTGCTCTCTCTGCGCTACCTTCTGGCAGTCCCCAGAGTGAATATTCATAATCTAACAAAAAAACACAATTGGATCATATCTTAGCATATTGAAAAGTACTTCCCCTTTAAAAATTCCTAAAGCAGACTTTTTTAACTATCAAGCTTATCGTATTATCACATGAAGGGGTAGCAATGATTATGCGTACACGTGTTATTTCATAAGATCTCATCAGCGACCCAAAAGTCTTACAATAGCTTATATTGAAAGATAATCACCCCACAAAGCCAAAAAGAACGCAAAAAATTTCATCCCCTCCCCCCCCC